ATAATATAATATAATATAATATACAAGAGGCAATACTTGACAATACATTAAATTATATATTCAATGTTATGTTATGTTTTAATATACTTATATCATTAATCTCATTCACATATAATATAATATAAAAAATAATATAATTATTTTAATTAGAATTATATTATTTAATTTTAATATAATATAATATAACATAATATACAGGAGGTAATAATTTACAATATATACAATTATATATTCAATGTTATGTTATGTATATACTATATAATTAATCCCGTTCACCTATAATATAATAATAATAATAATAATTATTATTATTATTATTTAATATATATTTAATATGTTATTATGTGTATGATAATATAAGGTGTTTTGCACACACACACACACACACACACACACACACTGGAAAATAGACAAACATACTTTTCTGTGTCTAAAGTGCAACTATAAATAAACACACTTTTCTATGTTTAAAGTGTAACTATGACGGGTAGCGTTTGGCTATGCGCGCTCTCGTGTGATGTCAGCGGCGCGCGGTGTAGTTGTGCTCGCTCGCGCTGGACTCAGTAGCAGAGAGAAGGAGAATCACGACGAAGATGGTCTCAATACGCGGAGTTCCCCTCGCGGATAGCCTCTGTTGGTACTGATTCGGAGTGTTCTCCCGGATAGCTCTGCTTCGAGGAGTTGCTTCATTTTCGGAGTGAGTAAAATCTCTGCTGTAGGACTGGCCCAAGAAATACAGAGAGGGATAGAGATGTGTCAGACGCGTATGTACAGTGCATCACTGCGCGCTTTGAAGTTCTCTATGTGCGCTGCTCTATCCAGATGCTCACTGATGCACTACAGCTGTCCGTTCATTTACATGCCGCTTAAATGACCAGACAATAAGTAAATGAATGGTATTTAAACAGTCCCTGTTGTCGTAGGGAAAATTCTATTGTTCCTGTTCGAGTGTCAACTGCCAGTTCATATGCACTATGCAATATTCCCTACGCGTCTGACACATGAAGGAATGAACTAAGAGTTCTTGTTTTTTTTTTGGTTTTGTTTTTTTTTATTTAGATTTATTTATTGCATATGAATGCATTTTGCATTTGGATGGTTTACATGGTAAAATATGCTGTTGCATTATTTTCAGTTAGGTTTAGATAAAAGGTTATGCTGAACTGTAGACTTTTTTTATTTTTTATTTGATTTCATTATTTATTTCTGGTGTATATGCGTCTGAAACCACACTGACCTTGGATTGGATGTAGTGAAATTAAATTGTTCTTTATTATAGCTGGTTTCTAACTCGTCTAAGATGGTCATTAGGTGGTCCATGCACCATATTAGACGATGCAGCAACAAAGTTCAGTTGGCCATACTATGTTAAGTCACTCAAATTGGTTTTTAGAACATGATTGGTGGTCAACCAGCTAATGACCAGCTTAGACCAGCAAACAGTTCCAAAACAGCTTAAACTGGATTTTCCAGCAGAGATTATTGAAGCTGTACATTATAAAATTTGCATGTATGATTCATGTCTGCTGTAATGATGCTTCATGGTTGTAAATTAATGCACATAAAAAAAAGCCAATGTAAAGTTACAGTGTCTGGGCTGAGCAGTATAACTTCCTTTTCAAAGTTATCATTTCAAAACACAAGTAAACTACACTTAAAATAATAAAAAAAAATGTTTAAAATGTTAATTGTTTTAGCCTAAATCATGAACATTTCTTTCTTTCTCTCCCCCCCTCATTTTTAATTAATTTTGCTGTTCAAAAGCCCTGGAGAGTATGAGCAGAACATATATTGTGACATTTGTGGTCATTTAATTGCAACATACTAAGTTAAAGGCGGTTTAAGTTGCCTAGGAGACACAGCAGTTTCATTATCTTCTCTTCTAGAGGCATTTACTCAAATGGGCACCGTGTCCTTTCTATTATAACGAGTCCTGCAATTACAGTCTGGTATAAGGCTGTTTTGTTCATTGTTATGGATGCATCAATTTTTGTATACTGCATTGGGGTTGTTGGTAAAAGATTGTCATGTTGTTATGCTGTGATAATGGATGGGCCTCTGTGTATCACCAGCAAAGTCACGATACGATACGCATCACGATACGGGACTGCACTGAATTTCACCTCAGAAGAATCTAGTAAAACAGCTGTTTATTAAACACTGCATACCATAGGGCCGTTGCTAACTATTGGCAGAACAGGCACTTGACCTCTGCATTATGAAGGGCCTCTAACTGTACCATAGTACAATAGCCTATAGGTAATGGCATATGTTTCATGTTTACATTGTGCACTCCCCACCCTACAATATTCTGATTGTTTGCATCTTGTTTTTAAGCCCATAAATAATAATGTACTCGTTCTAATAAATTTATATTGTAATATACTCATTCTAATATATAAAAAAATCATATTTACATTGCTGGTAGGTTATAATTGCACAAATTAACACATTCTCTACGTTTAAAAAATAAAAATTAGAAGAGTTCTAAACTAATGCGCTGTCTTCACTGTACCTCACGCACACATTAGTTAGATCACTCTGCGCGCGCACAGACATTCTTTTTTGCGTTTAGACAAACTTTTTAGCGCTGGCCCGCAATTTTATCAATAAAATAGCTTAATCGCTGAAGAGCTACATTATCTTTCTCAACAAGGAGCTGGTAACATAATCGTTTCTAAAGCAATTAAAGCCACAGCTTCACTGTTGATAGAGAAACGCGGCAAAACGGTGGTAATTCATACATACGAGATCACTAAACTGCAAGCTAACCGGTGTTTTCAGAAAGCAAGCATGTTTATCCACAGTGGAGAGAGCGCACGTGCACATGGTTGCCAGGTTGACAAAGATAAGTAACACACTTAGCAGATATTTTGAGATGGTCCTTACTGCAGAACACAAGATCCAGGGGGTGAGGTTGGATCCAGATCCAACTCCTCCCCCCGAATATCTGAAAGTACTCTTAATATCAGTCAGTCAAGCAGTCAAGCAGTCAATATTATTATTATTATTATTATACGAATTCTACTAATAAGAACTAAGGATTAATGAGCTACTGGATTCATATTAATCAGGTTGTGTGCATTTGCTCGAACGGATTCGCTGAAATCAAAACAGGGACAATAATAGGTGAGCACCAGCCAATGAGATTGTCGTTTGCGCATTAGTTCCGCCCACTACCGGAGAAAGGAACTCCGTTAATTTGAAAACGGTGGTAATTCATACATACACAGCCTCTCTCTCTCTCTCTCATAAATGAACACTTGATGAATTACACTTTACTGAGAATAGAATATTGAAGTGGAGATCGCTAAACTGAAAGCTAAAACTAAAACGGTGTTTTTAGAAAGCAAGCGCGCTTATCCACAGTGGAGAGAGCGCACGTGCACATGGTTGCCAGGTTGACAAAGATAAGTAACACACTTAGCAGATATTTTGAGATGGTCCTTACTGCAGAACACAAGATCCAGGGGGTGAGGTTGGATCCAGATCCAACTCCTCCCCCCGTACATATACCTAAACCTACCCATCTCCACCCCCTGATCCCTAAACCCACCCATCTCCATCCCTAAACCTACCCATCTCCACCCCTAAACCTACCCATCTTCACCCCTAAACCTACCATCTCCACCCCCTAGATGTGGATCCAACCCCGCCCCCTGGATCTTTGTTCTGCAGTGAGAGGCTACTGGATATTTTCGTATTGCGCAAGTGCTTCAAAGCTCTGTTTCGGGGATTACATCTCTTCATATCAGGCAACCCCAGTTGTGTTCCTCTGCGGCCAGATCAAACCTCCTTGTAGCCTATATATTATGCTCTATTCATTATTTTTTAGAAATCTTGCACTTTTCTACTCCGTTTTAAACAGTGTTCTTGTATTCAAATTAAGCGCGGTCCACTGCAGGGCACGTGCCGCGATATCGATACAGGGCCAGCTGTAGCGATACTTGTATCGTCAGATGTCTGTGTCGTATCGATGTATCGAACACAGCACTAGGCCTCCAGCAGGGTTAAATCACACATGAAATTACACATTGATACGTCCCATCTTTCCTCAGAACATCTCAATGACCCTCACAAGATTTACTGATAGAGGGCAGGATCGGGTTTTCAAAGGCTGTTATTTTATTATCAGCACACTTACGGACATAATAATAACCTGCATGCTAAGAATTAAGGCTGTCTTTTGTTTTCTAGATTTCTAAATGCAGACGTTTCTATATAGAGCATAGGCCTACATCAAATCTCATGATAAATTGTTGCAATCTAGTAGCCGCCCTTCTACATCTATCAATCTCAGTGGCAGAAAATGGTGTGTGTATGTTGTACAGTATACAGCGTCCTGCTGGGTGCTGCCCATGGATAATCTATTTTTAATTGGCCTTGTTAATGATAACAGAAACTTTACAGCAGCGTCTGCCTGTTCATAAAGTTAATTGTGCTCATGGGACTAGACAGTATAGTTTGGCACAGTTTATTTTATATTACCACCGGTGCTGCACGGTCACACTTGCTGGTCTGCTTTCACACATATGTCACAAGACTGGCAGTTAGACCAAAAAAAGCAGATTTGATGCCCAGACTTGTTGTTTTATTTCTTTAGGCTATTTTAACATGCAAAGTTGCAGTTTTAACAAAATGCTGCATTTAGAAAATCATACGCTAGAAATAGTTTAATTATATCAAAGGATCGTGACAGATATGTTGTTCTATGATTCTCATCAAATGCTTAGAATTTTAAAATCACAAGTGATGAAACTGAGCCATCATCCAATAGCTGTAAAATGCAACTCCATATTTTTTGACGCATGTAATTTTTTAAATATTAGAATAATATTATATATGTTTCTGCATATGTAACTGGAATAATTGAAAGCTTTTTAAGCCATTTATTGGTTGATTCCACCTAAAAGTCAAAACATTGCTCTGTTCCTATCCAGCCACAATAAAAATAGCTCAACCAGTGGAGTGAGTTTGGGGACAGGACTATATGTTTACTGACCAATGGCAGGCAGTGAGAACTTGTGACTTTTTATCTCACAATTCTGACTCCGAACGGATTCGCTGAAATCAAAACAGGGACGATAATAGGTGAGCACCAGCCAATGAGATTGTCGTTTGCGCATTAGTTCCGCCTACTACAGGAAAACCCGTCAGTTCTTAAAAGCTGAAAAATTCCAAAGGAATTATTGTAAAAAGGGTTATTTTTACAAGAAAATACAACAAAGTATATCGTTTACATGTAGCGCATCAATTCTGCATGTTATGTAAGACTCTCGCTCGCTCTTTGCGCGTGTGAGAGAAAGCGACGGCGAGTCGTGCGCCTTCACACTAGAGTTTATGTTACGCCAAATAAACAAACACAGGTGCGCTGCACATCCATTCAAATGAACTGAAAAATATCACAGATCGCTTGACGCAGAGTGAAACTGAAGCGCTCAGTCAGAGTGTTCTGTGAGTGAAAATATATCTGTGCTAATCATATACTCAGCCTCCAACTCACACACTGGCGAGTAAAATCTGAGAATTTATTAGCCATTGGCTAATATTAGACATCATTTAGTCGCCCAGAGTGAAGATTTAGTCGCATATGCGAGTGATTTACTCGCAATGTAGAGGGTTGGAGATAAAAAGCCGCAGTTACTTTTTAAAATGTTATTTCTTATCTTGTGGCAGGAACCAGCTGTTATTTCAAAT